ACACCCAGCTCGCGATGGGACGTTCACGCCGCGGGGGCTGGTCCACGATCGTGGCCCACCCCCGTAACTGACCAGGTAACCACCTCGGTCAACCGGCCAGTTCCCTACACTCCCAGGCACAACGAATGTCGAGCTATGACTCCCAACTTAGCAAAAACATACATTAAGCATAAACAAATGTACGAGCAAGCATGACAATGCAAACAATAATATAAACCATGCAAATATAGTCAAGCACACACACATACTTAGAAAATAAAACAAGAAATTACATAAACGGGCACTAACCCAGAAGTCAAATCGTTACAGTATACAGACACAAGCCCCGAATCAAATAAAACATGGCGCACAGGTTAAAAACTACCGGGCACGCAGGCCGAATGAAAAATAAAGGGGCACACAGGCCACCATCACTACTCTACAGGTTCCTCCTCCTCACGGACAACCTGGTTGTCTTCCTCGTCATCCGAGCCCTCGAGCACAACTATTCCACCGTCTTGGATCCGATGAAAGGGACCAATCTCATCGGTCACTAGGTCAGGATTGACGAGCTTGAGTTGGTCGACAACATGCTTAAATCCCACTTCGACGGCCCCCAAGCAGTCCTCCTCGAGATGAAGAACCTTGGCCACGAACCCTTTCCTAGACGAAACCAACCGCTCCTCTTCGGTTTCATCCTCGGCAGGGGTGACCAGATCCTCGAGCTCAGCGATACGACCGTTGGCCCCCTTCATCTCTTCATCCCTTTCCTTCAGGGCCTTCTCCAGCTCCTCAATGCGTCCCCAGTGGAGCATGTCCTACCTCTGATACTCCTTCTGGTCGGCCACCAGCTTGGCCCTAACCTCATCGGACACCGCGAGGTCGCTCTTGACAGCAGCTAGGTCCTCCGATGAGCACCCCGCCTCATTCAGCACATGGGTCATCTTGAAGACCCTCACCATCGCCGCCAGATCTGTGGACATCATCTTCCTCCGAGCCTCCTTGCCCGCAGACAGTACGCTCCTGGCTTCCTCGGGCGCCACCGCAGGATCGTTCCGCCCTGAAAAGAAATTTGGTCGGAGACAGCAAGGAGGCATGACGAACCCGCTCTCCGGGGACCCATCCGTTAGATCAATCCGAGGCACCTCGTCCTCCCGTCGCCGTTTGTGAACCAGGGGCTGCGCTGGGGACCCACTTCCCCGCGGAGATGAGGTCGTTCCCGAAGATCCGTCGGCCAACTCCCTTCGCGCAGCAGGGTGCCGATCTTGAGCACGACGGTTTCCCCTGTTCATCAGCTTCGTCGCCATTTCCTCCACGGAACCCATTGAGCCTGCAAAACAAACACAAGAGAAACGGTTAGAAGCAAAATCTAGACAAGTATCAAAAGCAGCCCGGAGGCACTCAAACTACCTAGGAACCGATGAGCCTCAGCTTCCGTCTTGCATTCGAGCAGAGCCTTTACATTAATATACTGGGCCTTCGTCAGTATTTGCCCATCTTCGCCGCGGATATACTCCCCGTCGGGGGACACACACTTCCGAGGAGGAAGGCGACCGACGAAGTCCACCAACCTCCGGAAGGTCAGGCTCTCCTCCTCGCCTAGCCGACCAGGCCTGAAGATGAAGCTGTCAATGGCCGAACAGAAATGCTTATCCCCCCATTCCAAGGGGAAATAGGACTCATAGTTGTCCTCGAAACGCCCCTCCACGACTACCACTTCCTTTTGAAAAATAGTCTTGTACGCGTTGTCCATGGCCGGCATGACCACAAACCAACGATCTTTAAAGCCTCGAACAGAGTCAGTATACGGGAGGAAGAGCATGGTCGCCTGCTTCAGTAAAACCCAGCTATGCCGACCAGCCGTCGTCAGACGTTGCAAATGGAAAACGCAGAAGAATAGGGGAATAATGGCTCTGAGCTCCAAATAGTTACACATGATCTCGAACGCTCGGAGGAAAGCTAGCGAGTTCGGGTGAAGTTGGGAAGGCGCCAGCATTAGGTGGTCGAAAACGCCTTACAGAAAGCCGGTAAAGGGCAGTTGCATGCCCACCTCTTTGAAGGCGAACTCATACATGGGGAACTGACCACCCTCATAACGCGAGCAGATACGATCGACCTCCCGAGGCCGGCAAGCGCGGAATTGACGGGGGCTCCCGGCCACCCTATCCTCTATCACAGCAAACGCGTCTGAATCGTCGAGGATGAACCTCGACATATAATATAGGGGTTCCTCCCCGACCCATTCTTCCAAAGGCCTCTCCAGAGGATCCAGGTCTACCTCCTCCTCGCGACCTTCCTCGTTCGCCAACAAGTACCATTCCACGTCTTCCTTATCGCGACCAGTCATTTATACCTGAAAAGCAGAGGAACTCGGTGAATTCGACAGCCAAATCAAATTCACCCTTCCACCGCAGTTCAAGTGAAAGGGTGTTGTCGCCTAACCGCCTGTGTGACGAGCGGGGGGGGGGGGGGGGGGTGCGACTTTATCCCCCGAGGAGGGACATTGAGTACACCCTTTGTCCTCGGCGCACACATCCACTTGCGCACGGGACATTCATCCTATTTTCCTCGGGACATTCGAAGTTCTTTCATTCCTCCCCGGGACGCTCATCGCAAGAGCCGGGGACAGTCGTTTTCTACCCTAATTTTGAAGGATCCTCTGGCGTATTCGCCAGAAAAACCCACGGCATTCCCAGCGGAGCCGCCGGGAACACTGCCACAAATAGAAAAAAACGCCAAGAAAGGTGCGGAAACTTACGTGATATGAATGCAGAAAAGTTGCTGCCGGGCAGAAAAATCCCAGAAGTCGAGCAGAAGCGATCGAAGATGTCGGGCAGAAAATTTCGGGTGTTGAGCAGCTGCAAAAAGCGAATGAGCGAAAAGACGAGCCAGATCTACGCATATATACCCCTAGCACGGGAAACGAAGCGTCGCTATGCATTCAAGTGCATAGGCCGTAGCCGTCACAAGGAGACACGTGGTGACCCTCCATCTTCCCTGCGTCTCTTTAACTTCTCCCCTTGACTGCGGGCACCTCCTCGACGTAAGCTCACCTGGCTGCCACGATCACAATCTGCCCGACGGATACCTGTCCGACTGATCACGCGTCCGACATCATTTCCTGCTCAAGTCATAGCTCGCACGACCGCGAACAACGACTTAGGGGCTACTGTTCTGGATTGGGCCGACGCTTAGCCCACAACAAACAGGCCCAAGCCCCAATGAGGATTGGCCCCCTGAATACCACGCTAACGGGAGGTTGCCCGCCGAGCACAACATCTCCCCGTCGGGGACAGACCAACATCTGTCGAACAGGACCATCGCTTCCGACCAGCTAGCCTCCCTCTTCCCCATCGTCGGGCAGGTCCCTAGCATCCGACCAGCCGCCTCTGTCTGCCCGGGGGACTCCTCGGGCCTTTCCCCACGTTCTCCACGTGTTCCTCGCGCAGAGACACGTCATAACGCAACTACCCACTTCCTAGAGATTCGGTCTTCCTCCTCCCGGATAGTGCGGAACAGTTACCCTATGGCGAAGACCACATCCTGATCTTCACGACGCCACGTCAGCCCTAGCAGTTACTAACATTGGGCCTGGCAGCCCAACCCAGTGTTAGGTAACCGTTGGCCCTGCACTAGGGGCTCACTATAAATACCCTCTTCACTAGAGGGTCAGGTAACTTAACTTCTTACTCTCTCTTTGTGCCTGCTTCCACTCTGCCCGTCAGTTACTTTGGCATCGGAGTGTGTTTCAGGTTCACCCCCCTCCTCTTCAATACTTTCGATGAGCCGCTAGCAGATCAACAGCGTGTGGCAGTTTATAGCTCCCCTTCTGGTCAGATACGATCAAATACATTAGAGAATTCATCATGTAAGAAATTGACTATCAAAGTAGGATCAGACAAGCTAAAAATAAAGTTCACCAAGAGATCTATAAAAATGCCCCCACAACCACTAGCTTGAGAGTCCATCGCACCATCACAACTATAATTTAACCAAGATCTATTAGAAGGTTGTCATATATCTTCCTTCACCACTAGAGCTTTAGGAAGATGAAGATTTACATTGAATGATTTGAGAAGATCGAAATTCATCCATGTGAAGGAAGAAAGAAGAAGAGTATTGTTACCTATCAACATGATTTGAGCTTTAATGTTGGATATATTGATACGAATAGGGTGATTTTGTTGAGGTATCTAGCTGAATTTCTAGTATGCCAAATAGCCGAAATAATGTAAACCATTGTAGCTTTGATGATTAGGGATCCCTAAGGAGAATTGCTTTTGTTACATAGAGACCAAGTCCTCTGTAGAAGTAATGTTAATTGTTAGAAGTAATGTTAATTGTTAAAGAGTCCCACTTGCAAATGCTCAGGCTTGATACCGTACCAAAGAGTTGGAAAAATATTCCAGGCCATTGACATTACCTCCTCCTAAAGTACTCCTATATTGATTACACGCTAAAACTAAAAAATTATATTTTATTTATAATATTTATATTTATAATATTAATATATTAAATAAATAAATAAATAGAGTAAATTCATTTATCATCACCAAAGTAACAACTTTGAATTTGAATTCACTCTATCTAAGCCAACAGGATGGTCCCATCCCATGTCTTTGTGCAGCCTATGTTTTACTAGCCTGCTGCTCCACCCTTCTGAAACTGCCTTTACAACTTACGTGTCATTCAATATTTGGAAACACCGGCGGTGCTAGCAACACCACCGCCGCATGCTCACCGTTTGTCACAAAATCACTGACATAAAGTTTTCACTTTTACAACCATCTTTATATTTACAAAACTACCCTTCAATATAGTAACACTGTTCCATTTATCATATGAAAACAAAACAAATGTTAAGTTGTCTTTGTTTTTGTGACGGAATTTAAGAGGTTGTCTTTGGCAATACATGTGTTAATGTTTGACATGGTAATGTAACAGTTGTCACACAATACTAGTTTCTTCAACTTTGAACAACCGCATGATTCTTTTTCACAACATGCATGTTCTTTTTCACTATGGATTCTAATAGATTTTCATTCTCAGAACCATTTCTATCACACAGAAGAAAGCTTTTTTCTGAGTTTAGTTTATGTGTTGGAGCTTCTTTGCTTTTGTGTTCTCTTTTCTTTTTTAGTAACTCACTCAAAGTTCCTAAAAATTCTGTCTTTCTTTCTGTTTTCAATACTTCTAACATAAACTCTTCATTTGTTTCACACCCTTTTTCTTTAGATAGTACTAATCACTCTTGTTTATCTCAGAATAATGTTTCTGAGAACCCTCTTAAGAGAGTTGAAGAAGGTAGTGTTGTTTTTGGTGGAACACTTGGTGACATGATGCAGAACTCTACTTTTATGAGTTCTAATGTGACCCGTAATGATGATTTATACAATGGAAATACTAGTGTTGTTGAGGTAAGGAATGAAGGGGATTTTGTTAGGGATAAGAATGTGAGTTTGATCACTCATAGTGATGATGATGAACAAATGGAGAATATGGAGGTTGGTTTTTTAGATGAAAAGTGTGATATCTTTGATGGAAAATGGATAAGAGATTATTCAAAACCATATTATCCTTTAGGTTCTTGTCCCTTCATTGATAGAGATTTTAACTGCCACCTTAATGGGAGGATTGATCTTGAATATGTTAAATGGAAGTGGAAGCCAAATAAATGTCACATTCCAAGGTATTATTTTGATTAATGTTACTCATTAGCAAGTTGAAAGTGTTGTTAATTTTTAGTTATTTTGGTTTGAAGATGATTATTGATGTTATATGATATCTATCAGTTTGAATGCAACTGATTTTCTGGAGAGGTTACGCGGTCGGAGACTTGTTTTTGTTGGAGATTCGTTGAACAGGAATATGTGGGAGTCTCTTGTTTGTATACTTCGACAAAGCGTCCGGAACAAGAAACGTGTTTTTGAAATTTCGGGGAAAAGAGAATTTAAGAAGAAAGGTGTCTATGCTTTTAGATTTGAGGCAAGTTTCTTGTTTACGGATAATCTTTTGTCAACTGAGAATCTTGGAATGGTATATGGTAATAGAATTTATCTGGTTTGTTTTTTCAGGATTACAATTGTTCGGTTGATTTTGTTGCTTCACCGTTTCTTGTTCGAGAATCGAGTTTCAAAGGCAAAAATGGCTCATTTGAGACATTGAGATTGGATTTGATGGATCACACAACTACAAGGTATCAGGATGCTAATATTTTAGTCTTCAATACAGGCCATTGGTGGACACATGATAAAACATCGAAAGGGTAAGTTCATTTTCAGTCCGTAACTTCTCAACGATTGATCGAAAAATTTGGCTGATTGTGTCTACGTCTCTGACAACATAGCGGTTTTCGGGCTTTTCTTTAATGCAATGAATTTGTGTTACATAGGACTTAGCTTTGTTTTTGTACTAAGATGTCTGGTTTTGCTGTCATTTGATATTTGTTGCAGAGAAGATTATTATCAAGAAGGAAATCATGTACATCCAAGACTCAAGGCTTTGGACGCTTATACTCGGGCTTTAACCACTTGGGCTAAGTGGGTGGACCGAAAAATTAACGCGAACGAAACGCAGGTTTTCTTTAGAGGATACTCATTTACTCATTTCTGGTAATGTTATCTCTTGCGCAGCTTCCACATTACAATTACCTGTTGATTTGATATTGTTTCTCCGCTAAAATTAGTTGAAGTGTCTCCTAATTGAAAACTTATGTATGAATTCTAATTCCTTCCAGGGGTGGACAATGGAACTCAGGAGGACAATGCCACAAAGAAACGGAACCGATATATAACAAAACTTATTTACAAAAGTATCCTTCAAAAATGCGCGCGGCAGAGCATGTCATTGAGAATATGAAAACCGAAGTGGTGTATATGAACATAAGTAGACTTACAGATTACAGAAAAGACGGACATCCTTCAGTATACCGGAAAGATTATAAGACAACGATGATGAAGAACTCTTCTTCGCTATACGAAGATTGCAGCCATTGGTGCTTGCCTGGCGTACCAGATACTTGGAATGAATTGTTATATGTCTCTCTCTTAAAATATGGAAAGGGAACTTGGAAAGTATGAGACTAGTTCCTTATAATCATTCTACATCCAGTTTGTATCTATAGTTTGATTAGAGTATGACATTTTTCCCCAATGATCCATGGGATTGTAAATGTGTACATGTGTGGTGTGAGAGTTTAAAACCAATGCCTAAGCTTAAGCAAATTGTTCTGCATATATCTTTTAAGAGCCATGAATCGATATTTGCCAACAAAGATCCTTCCTTATATTTTTGTATGATTTGCCAAATGGAAAAAGCTAGTTGAGAAGTTAGTGATTGAGAAGTGGTATCACCTATTCATTATCCAAATACATTATTCTTTTCTTTCTAAACTATTGAAAGTTGTAAAGTAATGAAAGATGACATTATTGTAAAGTTTGTCAAAATAAATAAATAAAGTTGTATAGTGTCTTTTAAAATAAATTAATACTTTATGAGAGGTTGGATCGAACTTTAGTATGGTTGTATGGTAGCTTCTGGTTCGACAGGTATTAAGCATGAGGTACAGTCTGTTCGTATGCTGTTGTCGGAGTAATGCATGTTGTAGTCGAAGTTTGTTCTAACATGCATTAGTCAATATTGCTAGGGTTGTTAGCATGTTGAATTGGGTCTTACTTGTAAGCTCAATTGTTTAAGTTACCTTGTAATGAGTAATTGTTAAAAAGCCCATTAGGTCAGTGTGCTATTTTTCTTATAAATAGGATGCTAGTTTCTCAATCTTGGCATAAGAAAAAATAGGAAGATAAAATCCTAATTTCAAGAGAGAGAGAGGTTATTTGGTTATTCTTGTATACTTGTAATCTTGTTCTAAGAGAAAGGAAAGAATAACTGTTTATAACCAATCCTTGTTGTTCCTTGTTGTTTTACGTTGTTTTCTTTGTTTACCCTAACCTTTGTGTGTTTCTTGATCATTAAGAAACCGTTTATACTTTGTTTAAAGGCATCTGATTCGCAACAAATTGGTGCGGTGAGCGTGGAGAAGATGCCTTCAAAAAAGTATGAGATCGAAAAGTTCACTGGAGTGAACGACTTCGGTCTGTGGCGCTTGAAGATGAAAGCCCTACTGGTTCAGCAGGGTTGTTTGGAAGCGTTGAAGGGAGAGATATCCATGGACGCTGCATTAACGACAAAAGAAAAGACAAGCATGATTGAGAAAGCCCGCAACGCAATATTGTTGAGCCTTTGTGATAAGGTTCTTTGACAGGTATGAAAGGAGACTACAACATCGGGATTATGGGTGAAACTTGAGAGTTTGTACATGACTAAATCTATAGTGAATTGACTCTACCTGGAGCAAGCTTTGTATTCATTCAAGATGAGTGAAGACAAAGTGTTGGCTGGGCAGTTGGATATGTTCAACAAGCAGAGTCTTGATCTTGAAAATATTGATGTGAAGATCGATAATGAAGATCAAGCACTGTTGCTGTTGTGTGCTTTGCCCAGAACACATGCTCACTTCAAAAAAATTCTCTTGTATGGAAGGGAGTCCCTAATCTTTGAAAAAGTTCAATTAGCCTTGTATTCTAAGAACTTGAACGAACGAAAGGAGCATAAACCTACGACGGCGGGCGAATGTTTGACCGTTAAGGGAAAATTCTTGCGAAAGGATGGTAAGTTCGACAAGAAGAAAGGTAAAAGTCAACAGAAATCTTACAGTGGAGAAACATCTGGTATTCGATGTTATCAGCAAGAAAGAGGGTCACACAAGAAAGGTGTGCCCTGAACGCCTGAAAGATCATGGAGGTAATGGCAACACAACCATTGTTCAAGATGACTTCGAATCATCTGACGTTCTTGTGGTTTCAAGTGGCGACTTGAGAAAATAGTGGATTATAGATTCAGGTTTCACTTGGCACATGACTCCAAACAGAGAATTGTTCGAGGAGCTATGTGATCAAGATGGTGGATCTATGCTGCTGGGAAACAACAAATCTTGCAAAATTACAGGTATTGGATATGTGAGATTCAAACTCCATGATGAGTCAATAAGATTATTGACTGAAATCAGGTATGTACCTGACTTGAAGAGAAATTTGATTTCTCTTGGTGAATTCGACAGAAAGGGATATATTTTTCAAGGATAGAAAAGTATCCTAAGAGTCATGAAGGGGTCGAAGGAAGTCTTGAGAGGCGTGAAGAAACAAGGCTTGTATACCCTTGAGGCTGAGGTTGTAAGTGGTTCGACAAATGTTGCATCCACAAAACCTGTGTCGAAGACAGAATTATGGCACATGAGATTGGGCCATGTCAGCGAAAGAGGTCTGGTCGAATTGGGGAAGCAGGACCTACTAGGGGGTGACAAAGTCGAAAAGTTAGAGTTTTGTGAATCTTATGTATTTGGTAAATCTTGTAAGGCGAAGTTTAATAAAGTCAAGCAAAGAAGAGATGGATCCCTGGATTACATTCATGCTGATCTTTGGGGGCCTGCAAGGAATCCTTCACACTCAGGTGCAAGGTATTTTCTATCCATCGTTGATGACTATTCCAAAAAGCTATGGGTATTCATTCAGAAGACGAAGGATGAAACTTTTGAGAATCTCAAAAGTTGGAAGATTCTGGTCGAAACTCAAACTGGCAGAAAGGTCAAGAGGTTGAGAACCGACAATGGCCTTGAATTCTGCAACGAAGCGTTTGACAGTTATTGTGTTGAGTCTGAGATTGCAAGGCATAAGACTGTAGCAGGTACTTCTCAATAAAATGGCTTAGCTGAGAGATTCAATCGAACAATCCTTGAAAATGTTAGATGCATGTTGGTTAGTGCTGGATTGAAGAACGTGTTTTAGGCGGAAGCTGTTTCGACAATAGCTTACCTGATAAATAGATGTCCCTCGACTTCCTTGGGAACAAAGACAACTGAAGAAGTTTGGCCGGGACAGCCACCTAGTCTCGACAGACTGAGAGTATTTGGCTGTATGGCCTATGCTCATATTAGGCCAGATAAATTCGAACCTAGAGCTCTGAAATGCATGTTCATGGGATACCTTGAAGGAGTCAAAGCTTATAGGCTATGGTGCCTAGAGCCAGGTCACAGGAGGTGTGTCACCAGTCGAGATGTAGTTTTCAATGAAGCAGAGATGACTTTCAAGAAAACTGATGATGCAGACGAAGAGCTGGAACAGGGAGAGATTCCTGTTGAGGTGGAACATGTTGACGCTGAATTGCGTACCCCAGATAAAGTCGAAGAAAACGCAGAAGATGTTGTCCAAGATGAGGAGACTGATAATGACTACCTGCTAACAAGAGACAAGTCAAGGAGAGTCATCAAGCCACCTCAGAGACTTGAGTATGTAGATCTTATAGCTTATGCCTTAATATCTGCAAGTGAGGTTCTATACGAAGAACCTAGAGACTATAAGGAAGTTATGAGGAGTCGAAAGAAGACTAAATTGCTGAAGGTCATGGATGATGAGATGAAATATTTTCATGATAACAATACTTGGAAACTGATCAAGAAACCTGCTGGAGCCAGGTTAGTTAGCTGTCAATGGATTTTCAAAGTTAAGGAAGGAATCGAATGAGTGGCGTCGAAGAGATACAAGGCAAGATTGGTTGCTAGGGATTCACTCAAAAAGAAGGTATCGACTTCAATAATGTGTTCTCTCCTGTTGTGAAGCACAGATCCATTCAAATGTTGCTTGCCACAGTGGTATAGTTCGATCTTAAACTGTAACAGATGGATGTGAAGACTGCGTTCTTGTATGGTGACTTAGATGAAACAATCCCGATGAGGCAATCTGAAGGGTATGTCGAAAAAGGGAAGAAATATTATGTGTGCAAGTTGAATAGATCCTTATATGGACTGAAAAAAATCTCCTCGACAGTGGAATAGGAGATTCGATAAGTTCATGGCACGCATAAGTTTCATCAAAAGTCAGTTCGACCACTGTGTTTACTTCAGATTTTGATCGGGTAATTCATTTGTTATTTTGTTGCTCTATGTGGATGATATTCTAATAGCAAGCAACAATCTCGAAGAGTTAATGTGGGTGAAGGCAGAACTCAATAAGGAGTTCAACATGAAGGATCTGGGAGCTCCGTCCAAGATTCTTGGGATTGACATCCGTAGAGATAGAAAGCAGTCGAGATTATGCTTATCTCAATATGCATACCTACAGAAGATTCTCGAAAAGTATGGTATGTCGAATTCAAAGCCTGTTGTGACTCCGACAAACCCTCAATTCAAGCTGAGTATAGATCAGTGTCCCAGCACTGATGTTGAAAGAACTTATATGAATAGCATTCCATATGCTAACATAGTAGGTCCTTTGATGTATGCTATGGTCTGTACTAGACCCAACATAGCATATGCAGTAAGTCTTGTAAGTAGGTACATGGAAAATACTGAAAAGGCTCACTGGCAAGCATTGAAGTGGATTCTAAGGTACATAAATGGGTCTCTGAATAAAGTCTTAATTTATGGTGGAGCCTTGGGTGAAGATAGTAAAGCAGCAATCGAAGGATATGCCGACTTTGATTATGCAGGTTGTATCGATTCCAGAAAATCTATTTCTGGATATGTGTTCACTATATTTGGGACAACAATCAGTTGGAAAGAAATACTTCAGAAGGTCGCTGCCTTATCAACCACTGAAGCGGAGTATATTTCCCTAACTGAAGCTGTGAAGGAAGCATTGTGGCTTGAAAGTTTTGCAAAGAAGTTGAAACTTCAAGGTAGAGTTATCACTGTTAAATGTGATAGTCAAAGTGCAATACACCTGTCGAAGAATTCAGCCTATCATGAGCGAACCAAGCACATTGATGTGAGCCTGCATTTCATCAGAGGGGTAATCGAGCGTGAAGAAGTCCAAGTGTCGAAGGTTTTGACAGATCATAATGTTGCTGATATGATCACCAAGACGTTGCCCAGTTGCAAGTTTTTCCACTGTATGCAGTTGTTAAAGTTGCATGAAGAAAGCTAGTTTCTTGATGTTATAGAGTTAGATCCAAGGTGGATCTTTGTGAGATGTTGGATTAAATTCTAGTATGGTCGAAGGGTAACTTCTGGTTCGACAGGAATTAA